GTTTATTTTTTTTGCTGTGACTTGAATGGACGGATAATAGGATACGTTTTGGTTTAATGTGAAAATGTAGGGTTGAGGACTAGTATCTAGGCGCCCTTTAATTTGTAAGAGTGGCCCTGTCAAGAAAAATGCCAGAACACCCTGTGGCCAACTTTAACCCAGAAAATTATGTCCCAGAGTGGATTCAAGTGGGTTTCTAACATAATCACAATGAGCCATACGTGTCTGGACAGTTTTACTTCATTCTTTATGAAATACCTTCAGGCCAAATGATCTCGGGAGAACTCAAAGCCGTCTTAGGGTCAGAAGTTAATCTGTATTCTCAACGGTGAGTGCTCACGTTGAAACTTTGAAAATTTTCACGGATACACTGTGAAAATAAAAGTTTTTTTCACAAATGCAATTTCACTCGCGTTCCGAAAATGAGTCGAAAATTGACAAGAGGAAAATATTTCGCACGGTGACGAAAACGAAACGTTCCGTGCTAGTCCGAGATACTGGAATAATTTATTTACGATAAGAAAATGAATCATCAAATCAACTCCCGCATCATCCATTTATTTTGGAATTAAAATTTCACTATAAACGAGCATTGAATTTTTAATGACAATCAAGATTTAGTCTCCATAAAAATGAATATTCAATTGATTTATTGATTTTTCCTGGAAATTGATGGATTTATTAAAAACCCAATCGAACGTCCAGAATTATTAATTGGGGGAAAAAAGTCAATTTTCGTTCGGATGTAAAATTTTCCCATCAGAAAACACCAGTTGACGATATTCCCGCCCAATTTTCCGAGGTTGTTCTTGTCTCTTGCGAAATCTCATCAGACGCGGTCAGTTCGTGGCTTTCTTACAGCCAGAGATTAGATTATTCTTTTTTCTATCGCAACTCTCCATTTCACTCCTTCCCTCTGGCAAAATAAACTCATCTCTTTTTTTACCCTCAGGAATGCAATTTTGATGAGTCACTCGACGCAAAATTAACTTTATAAAACATTTTCGTTGTAATGGGATTTGAATTTCTCTGGCCTTTGGAGTGTCGGCATTTCTGGAATGAAATATTCAATATTTCGAGGGGATGGGGTAGAAGAAAACGGAAATAGCCAACGACAAATGTCCAAAGGGTGAAAAAAAAAAATCAAAGTGCTGGGATGTCCGTTATCCCTCTCGCCCATTTCGTTAGCTCGGTGTATCCTGTTGGAGATTATTTTTACTTTGGAGCAAAAAAGATCTGTCTGGCGACTCTCTTGGTACGACACATGTGTGCGACGCATTTGGTTGATGCATACAGAAGGGGAAGTAGTCCAGCGATATTCGACCGGGTCCTCAGGGGGATGCGTTTACTTTTTTTTCTCACTTTTTTTTTCTTTCCTCTCTTGACGTCGTGGGAGTTTAACTGTCCCGCGACGTCAAGGGCCGTCATCCGTGGGGCATTCGCTGTTTATTTCTATGGATCTCGATGACCCTCGCCCGCTCCGTTAAATAAGCAACAGGTTTTCCCATTTTTCTGTTCAAAATTTTTTACTCCAACACCCCAAAATCGATGGAATATTCCGGCATAGGTCCGGGAATCAATTGCGGGTCATTAAGAGCTCATTAAAACCGGTGATTTTTCGGAAAAAAAATGGATGAAATATATAGCAAGTGAATTCGGTCGACAGACGAATTTTTATTCTCATGTTTTTTTTCAGTTGAATTCCAATTTTAAGTAAAAAACATTGAATAAATGATAGAATATAATTACAGTTAATTAATTAATTATAACCTAGACGCCGGGAATCTACTAGTAGGGGTTCGGTGGCAAGAGGGCAGCAAATGCCTATCCGTATCTTAACCATAACCATAACCAATTAATTATAATTACGATTATATAATTATTAAATCTTGAGTAATTTTATTTTGAAATATTTTTTGTGCTCTGCAAGACATGAATTACTCCGCGTTTTGGGTGTAATCTAAAAGATCAATTGCTGGGAGGAGCATGGGAGGAATGATTTCGGAGAATAGATTATAGAATAGATAAGGCTTTGGAAAAATAAAGGAATCGGATAAACGATGGCGGTCATTTCGATTTCGGACTTTCTACGCCACTGCAGCATGTGCGCACAGTAAACTAACGGATACCAAATATAAACCTGGAGACAGGCCCCTTCAAGGGTACATATTTCCGTGGAGATTTGGAATACAGCTTGTCTCTCTTTTCCTCAATCTCAAGAGTCTCCGTCGTTTTTCCCCTCGCAAGGGTTGCACGTAGAGGAAACTGAGTAAATCTGGCAATCCATGGACGCCCTCCACACAGATGCCCTCTCCACGTGTCTCTTTTTATAAATAAATATCAACACTACTTTTCATCATTCTTCAGCA